CACAAATATGAAGGGATGAATATTTAACGAATCAGCGATTTCTGACAAATATTGTAATCCATTCTTTTATTTGTCCCCATGTATAATCCCAACTATTAAGACAACAGTTCTATGCCTGTTTGCCTATGATGGACTCCTACTGAACTCAATGGGACAGTAGAGCTTACTTCTAAGTAGGCATATGTGGAATGACATTATAAAACATTGGTCCCAAACAAAAGAAATGAGCATTTGTGTTTTGACTTGAAATTCAGGCTCTGCATATGTCCTTTGCAATTATTTATCACTTATATGATACACGTTGTAATTGCTTATCATAGCAGGGAAGCATAGTACAGGACATAGGGATTAAACAGAACTTGGAAAGGGAAAAAGTTCTATGTATATTTACTTGGCATAGGCCTTTTCAAGCAGTGGTGGCCAGAATTCATTTCGGTCGCTGGGACGGACAAATACATATTGCCCATTGAGAAATGGCAGGCGGTCGTCTATCACCACATCCACCCAATTTCCAAATTGCCAGAACTAGAAAACAAAAGAGAAAAGAAGGTGTTTATTTTACCCACATGCTTTCTTCAGAGTGTGGCATGTTAGATAAATAAATAAATGTTAGATCTAAAAATTAATTTGCTTGTGCTAAATGTTAGGATTATCTACCTACCTACCTACCTACCTACCTACCTACCTACCTACCTACCTACCTACCTACCTACCTACCTATCTATCTATCTATCTATCTATCTATCTATCTATCTATCTATCTATCTATCTATCTATCTATCTCTCCATAGGGAACCGAAGGCAGTTCACAACAGCTAAAATTATACAACTATCAAAAGTTTTAAAATATCATATAAACACCATATTAAAAATTAACATATATCAAGCTTAAAACCAAGAATTTTTTAAGAATTGAAACTTTAAAAAACATTTTAAATTATTTGAATCTAATAAACAAAGCTTCCCCAGCCCTGCATCCTCTGGGCGCTGCCTCTGAGTGGACACCTGTCCAGAGGATGTGGATTGCAAGGGACCCTGGTGCCCGTCTCTAGTTAAGAATCAGTTGCATAGATTGGAGAGGCTTCCTTCTAGAATGGTTGAGGGGAAGCACAAAACAGTGCATGAACACTTACTTTAAAACAGATAAAATGTATTTGCGTTACTTTTAAAACATTTTAAAAGCTTTAGAACCATGAGTGAATTTTTTTCCATTCGCTAGGGGAAATAACAAATTTAACATTGAATTGTTAATGTAAACATTATTTCCAACTGCTGGTCTACTACTAAAGCAAAAGAAGAAAGAAAGAAAGAAAGAAAGAAAGAAAGAAAGAAAGAAAGAAAGAAAGAAAGAAAGAAAGAAAGAAAGAAAGAAAGAAAGAAAGAAAGAAAGAGCAAACATGCTGCTTATGTGCTACTCCATAGTGCTTGAAGCACTCTCTGGGCAGTTTGCAATTTAATTATGCAGGCTACACATCTCCCCCCCACAACCTGGTTACTCAATTTACCAAACATGGAAGCATGGAAGGCTGAGTGAACCTCAAGCCAGCTCCCTGGGATGGAACCAAGATCATGAGCAGAGTTTTGGATGAAAATGCAGTTTAACCACAAGGTTCTTAGACATTACTATTACTAGATATATGTACTAGACAGTTGCTATTAATCTAATCAGGTATTATCATAAGCACACAACCTTCCTAGGAGCTACTGTCTGCTAAAATGTGGGGAGGCCAAGGTAAACATGAAAGATAAAAACTGCATGTGTCAGCACTGTAAATACTCAGGAAGACATGTTATGCTGAGTCGATTATTGTTCCTTCTTGCCCATTGTTATCTATAATGACTAGCTTCACTAGGTTTTCAGACAAAAGTGTTGCCCATCATATCTGATATCAGAGATTAACCCTGAAACTCTTTGCTTACAAAATGTGAATTCTATCACATATAACCCTTCTATATAGGGCTGTTTGCCTCCCTTGATATGCAGTGTTTAGTGATGGATGAATCACTTGGAATATGGTATACATGGGTTTTTCATGTATTAATTCCATCATAAGTCCATTCCATCCCATTTCCAAAACACTCTGTAATTTTTAAAAGAAGTATGCCTATTTGCACAATTTCCTCTCACCTGCCCAGTTTGTATACAGCCTTCCACCAAAATATACATATACAAAATACATATTTTCATTCATAATTGTTGAGCTAAATTCATTGCGAAAATTAGAGAAGTTCCCAAGCTGAAGACTACTGTGTCACACATTGCACATTAGCCTGGAACATGTGATTAGGTTAAGTCACTTAAAAATACAGACCAAGTGAAAATGTTCCCCACTTCTAGCTGTGATTGTGTTTGTATGGCCTACGCGAAGCCCAGAGCATGTCTTAGGTAAATACAGACCAAGTGAAAATGTTCCCCACTTCTAGCTGTGATTGTGTTTGTATGGCCTACGGAGAAGCTCAGAGCATGTTTTTCTGTCAATAGATTGGGAGCAAAGAGGCAGATGATGAGTGATGAATTTGTTTCTATGGTAGAGCGCTTGAAGTGCCATGCTATTTTCATTTACAATGTCTTTTTCACCTGCTCTTTTAATTTACAAAAAAAACAACCACTTTCCAATGTATATCATGGCTGGCAATTTGAAAATTATAAGGAAAGTTTTTTAAGACTTTCACCCAGTCACCTAGCTACAGGCTGTGGAGTTCAGATGCAAAGGAATCTTTATTAATTGCATAAAAGAGAGAATTTTGGGAGGTGCTACTGAGTGTCTTCCTCTGCTCAACTATTCAAAGTGCAGCTATTCTATCTTTTGTTCCATCTTGCCATTTTAGTAGGAAACAACATTTCAAATCGCCTATCCGTCTACAGCAAGTTAACAGTTGTAGAGTGATTTAAAACATGGACATGATAATAACCCAAACCAAAATGGAAGTACCTAGCTTTTCACAATTCACAATTTTCACAATTGCAAAATGAACTTCCCAAAAAAATTAAAAGGGAATAAAAAGGAAAGCAAGCTTCTTCCATCAATTCTGTTTTGGGCTCCTCCTCCTTACAATCATCAACTGTCATTATATTAAGACTGCAACAGAGGGATCAAGATGAAGATGGTCCATCTGCACTGCTGAAACACCAGCTTCATTTTGCCTTTTTTTGCACTGAATTGTCCCTAAAACAACCCACTGTTGTAAGAACTACTACACAATTGTAAGAATGGTCAGTGATTTTGTTTGGTTTTTCCCTTCACTCCTTTTTATTTTTCACTATATCTTTCGGGTTATAAACCTGAGGGCAAGGATTGTCTTATTCATTACCGATCTCTGTAAGATGCTCTGAGAAACTTTACCATTGACTTACCTATTTGGATAACATGTTAAGTGCCATCAGGCCGGAATCAATTTATATGGACTTTAATAAAACTGTCATGGTAATTAAGGTATTTAAGAAGTGGTTTTACTAGTTTTACTGGCAATGCCTCAATGAGTTTCCATGGCCAAGTAGAGATTTAACCTCAGTCTTCCTGAGTTCTATCCATCACTTCCTGAGTCCTAATCTGTCACACCACACTAAGTTCCAAGATCTTTGTTATACAGTGGTGCCTCGCTAGACGATGATAATCCATTCCACTGAAAACGCTGTTTAGCGAAATCATTGTCTAGCAAAACGCATTCCCCCATTCCAATGCGGAAGAATCGTTGTTGTCTAGCAAAGATCGGTCATAGGAAAGCTGCTTTGCGAACCACCATTCAGCTGTTTAAATCGCTGTCTTGTGAAGCTTAGGTCCCAAAAATACCTGTTTTGCGAGCATGGAGGGAGCTGTCAAAATCGTCATCTAGTGAAAATCGGTTTGCGAAGCAGGGACCAAACATTGTCCAGCAAAATTCCCCCATAGGAATCACTGTTTTGCGAATCACTATAGCGATTGCAAAAAGTCAATGTTTAGCGAAAAAACTGTCTAGCGAGGTAACTGTCTAGTGAGGCACCACTGTACTAACCAAACAAATATAAATGTGAACAATTCCTGATATGGATCTTGGAATTTTTCTTATGATCAGCAGAGTTATAGCTGCTTTTTCAGCCAAAGAGCAAGGTGCAGAGGCTATAAATAGGAGGAAATTTGTAACATCAAACCAAGGTCTCCCTAATCTACTGCCTTCTTTCTACTTCTGTTTCTGTAGGATCAGACATATATTTTCAGAAGAACTACAATTGCAAAGTAAAGGCTTTTTTACATTGCCCATTTTCTGTGCCCGGAGAGCCAGCATTCAGAGACACATTGCACTCAGTTATGAGTCCTATTTAAGCACTATAGCTATTCAATCTGTCTAAGACTTTTCTGAAGACTCTCAGCTAGTCTTGGGGTAGGCAATAAATTTGTTGGCTTAGTCTTTCAATGCGGAAGTATGTATTTCAGAACTGCAAAGATTACCAAAGGAATGGAAGGGAATCTTGCCTCTGAAATCTATATATCATTGACACTTGCAATGTGTGTTTCTTTTTTGGGGGGGAATAATCATGAAACCCCATGTATACATCAAAATATGCATAATGAAAATGTATATTATATTAAAAATACCCACTAAGGTACTTTAACCAGTAGAGATGTTCAATAGAAAGTGCATATATTTAAAAATACACAGGAAAATATGTAGACACTTCCACGTGGGGCAAAAGGTTTTCTGAATCCAGTGAAGGACAAATAAGGAACAGCAATACTTTTGGGAGAATGACAAAGTTCAAAAAGGCTTATAGATTTGCAAATTCCATTACTAGATCATGTAGTACTGGGTTCCATAAATAAATTATGTCCAGTGACATCCCAGCTGGGCTACTGTATCACACTCTTATCTGGGCCTGCCTTTGGGTCCAAAATGCTGCAGCCAGATTGTCAACTGGGGCTGATTGCAGGGATCATAGACACCCCCCCCCTCCATTACAGCAGCTTCAGCTGCTGCCATTCTGTTTCCAGGCGCAATTTAAAGTACTGGTTTTGAACTATAAAGTCCTAAAAGGCTTGGGTCCAAACTGTCTCAAGGACTATGTCTCTATGAGGCTGGCCAGGTGTTAAGATTATCAGGGAAGGCCTTTCCCTCAGTTCCACCACCTTCACAGATGTGTTTTGTGAGGACAAGGGAGAGAGAGCCTTCCTCTGTCGCTGCTCCCAGACACTGGAAATCCCTCCCACAGGATCCCCAGTTGGCCCCATAGTTGATGCCCTTCCACAAGAAGGCAAAGACCTTTCTCTTCAGGCGGGCTTATCTTTTGTGACTGGCTGTCTAGGAGACAATAAACAGTGTGACTTATATTATGTTGCTTCTAAATCTGTTTCTTGTAATGCTCTTACTTGACATTTTAATATAACATTTTAAATTCTTCTTTATATTTGAATAATTTACAGTTTTTAGCTTTTAATATTGTGTTTTTAATTATTTAAACCATATTAAGTCTTTTTTTTTTAGAAAGACAGGATAAAAATATTTTTTTAAAAAAGGATATTCACATTTTCTTTATCCTGGACCCATTCATG